TCGAAAATACAAAGGGCGATTTATCATCAAAATTAAACTGAACTTTAAAAATATTAACAAAAACAAAACTTTAAACATTTTATGAAATCATGCACATTTTTGGAGATGTCAACACTTACCCCCTTGTGTAACAACACAAACACACACTAAACAGGCAACTCTGGTCTTTAATGGATCTTTCGATCTTTTATAAGTAAATACCCCTCCAAAGGAGTTGTTTTCGCAAAATTGTTTACTTGTTACCAGTTTATTTGGGGTGTCGTAAAAGTATTTGTGTTTCCACCAAATTAGGCTTAATTAACTGTAATATGAAGATTTTTAGTGGCTAATAAATGTGCTTTTTGTTAAAATTAACAAATTTAAACCATGAAATTATAAAACTGGACAAAGACATCGTATCCAGCCAAACGGCGCCAACATTTAACTGTGAAATTATAAACCTTGATTAGCATGGTGCGAAATCATAAAATCCAAGATTCACAAGGACAACCTTGATTTTTACGACAATGACGATTGTTCTGATTCATACCAACATCTCCAAAAATAAGTAAATTTATCGCCTATATACAATAGAATAAATTTAAATGTTTATCCACAATCAACTTATAATTGGATTTTAATCCACACTTATGAACCGTTTTAACTAACACTTTATCCCCTAGTGGGATAAAGTTAGTTTATTCTACTGTTACAAAAATAGAAAAATAATAAACACAAATCATTAAAATTTATTGAATAATTACTTATTTACATTAACATTTATATTTAAAGTAACACACTTAATTACTTATTTACATTAACATTTATTGTATTAAAGTAACACACATAGCCCCCTTTGATATTTTGACTTCGGTGTCATTGACGCGCATCTTTTTCTCGACATTTTTGGAAATCGTAACATCTGGCACAGTTTTTGACGAATTTGTATAAAATGTAAATTTGTTTTTTTGGCCGGAAATTTTCTTTGCTATATCCAGTTTATTTGATATGGCGTATTCATGCAATGTGATTTTCTGCTATTGCTAAAGACCGCCACCCACCCTGCCGTTTGATTGTTGAAATATCAGAACCCTTTTTCGCCAACAAAGACGGACAGACAGACAGATGGACAGGCAGACGGACAGACAAACAAACGGAAACGGGAGACCTATTTCTTCGTACTGAAAGGTCGAGAAAACGTATAAGAAGAGAGTCGGTCGACGGACTTGATTACAATGCTTCCTTCGCTTACGCTGGGGAAGTAAAAAATTAATTGAGGAATGCGTAGTTTTATTGAGGTGCCATTCTTACAGTACTATTACTCTATACCTACTTAAAATGTACATATAAAATGTGGGTACATGTAGAACAGATTCAGTTCAATTAAGTAAGTAGTAGATAAATTATGTTAACCTGCTCTATGTTTTATACACTCAAATTTTCCACAGTCTGATTGTAAATATTTGTGCATCTATTTATACATATAGGTACGCTCACCGGCATGAAAATATGCAAAATAAAGAACGATTTAGGTTGCAATACTTTGGTGTTGTTGTGCAACGTTTATTGTAATAATTTCATCCAAAAAGAATTAAAATATATGTTATTTTAATGCAAAATGATAAAAATTCAATAATCAAAGCTGAAAAAAATTAAAGTTTCCAAAAAAGCAAAATCAATGATCATTGACACACTGTTTAAGGCCGTCAATAACGGGTATTTCCCCCACGAACCTGTAAGACTGCAGGGCATCCCATAAAATAAATTGTTTATTTATTCTTGTTGGATATTCTTTCGTTCTTTTAAAAGCACATCTACAGTGTGAGGTGCAGGTACACTCAATTAATATGCAGGTCAAGAAACAACATCAGAAATAAGCATAGTAAAAACGTCGAAGCACTGTACTCAGAAAAATATTAGCTGGCCCGTTTTTCATGCCGGTGAGTGTATAATCTGCACTACTAATAGGCTGTTATTTTCTCCTATCATGTGGGCACACAGTGAAACATTTCGAGGAACAAAAACAAACACCTGCAAATCGCTCCACGCGACATAAAATAATGACTCATTTAGTTCTTGACATCCTTATATTTTTACCTTTTCGAAGTATTAAAGAATTTTATTTTCAAACGTCATATAACTGACACTTATATGACGGTCTTACCGGGGTTTAATAAGTCTCATTTCTATGACAGCGTTTTTGAGCGGCGTATAAATAAAACTTATATGTACTCCATCGGAGTATAACTAAAATACTTATACTCCGCCGGCGCATAAATAAAATATTACATGACAATCAAAAATCTAAAGTGAATAAATTTATTATGAATGTTGGATATATTTATTATTGTCAAATTAAACTTTAATTACATCAAGCATTGAGTATGTACAATCAATGCATTAAAGTACAGGCAAATCTAAAAACTATTTCTTAAAATTAAAAGTGCAGTTATATAACGTACTATTTTGAAAAAATCCACTTTTACCGGCACTTGAATTATCTTCAAAAACTGGTATAGGCCCAACCAAGGTCCCTTTATAGTCACTATTAAGTAACCTTGAGGCCCAACGACATTTCGGACCAGCGATGAGTTACATAAGTTGGGTTTGAGGTCGTTTGGACAATCAAATTTTTCGCAGATGTTTTACTATCAGGAATTTTGACGTAAATTATGGAACCATGATCTTCAATATCTTGCACTTTCATTTTTACTAGTTCGTCACATCTGCAAGCTCCGGAAATTCCAAATAATAGCACAATCTGAAAAAAATGTTTTTTCTTAGATGGGTAAAATACTTTTTGATCCACTTACTTTAGTTCCCAAATATTTTTCATCCGGTGATTTTGCTAAGAAGGTAAGAAATTGATGCTTTGTTAGAACGGCCGACTTCTTAGCTTGATAATTTTCCCGCTGATGCTTTTTCAGAAAAGCACGAAGATTCAAATATTTTGAAATGTCCACTTTTTCTCTAATATGAAGTAGGGATCTCACCATTGAGTAATGGCTCCATAATGAAGAACTCTTCATTTTCTTAACATTTGCCAGTTCAACAAAATAACTCAACACTGCATTCTCTGAATCACTGGTCAACAAAATTCAATTTTTTCTCTCTAACTTTGACATAATAGTAATGTTTTCGTTTAATTTGTCTCTGTGTTTGTAACAAAGGGCATAAACCTTACAACTTAGCTCAATTAAAAATAAAAATGCATATTTGATGTTAAAAACAAAAAAGCAGGTAAAACAATTTAATTTTTGTATCTTTAACGGCAAAAAGTGATGTATTAATAAAAGAACAACCATAATTAAGAAAAAAACAACGATTGCAGTTTAAAAAACGAAAAAAACAAAAGAAACAGCTAAGACCGACGTTTTTTCGGTTGCCTCCTATAGATTTCATTGGAGATCTCTCGCTTGATGGTCCCGCAGTATTCTGCGAGCATTTAGGTGTTCCATCGATCTTGGTAACGTTTTTGTATCCACAAAATGCCCAGATGGAAGCGTTATCTACGTCCGTCATTCACGTCGTCATAATTTTTGGGGAAAAAATCAAGATGCGAATACATAAAATGCACTTTTAAGAATATGTTAATTTTAAATTTTTTATATGATGATAACATGTTTTCTACTTACTAAACGTAGTTTTCTTATTGTTTCCCAAGAAGTTTGTAGCAATTTGATCACAAAAAAATACACCTTATAGAAAGTTTCCTATTACTTAATAGTACGATTTTTGTATTTTTCAAAGGATAATATTGAAGATTACTTTTAAATGAGAGCTAAGTTTGGGTTTAGCCGTTTATAATATCATTTAAAATTGTTAATTAAATAATAATTGGCTGCTATAATAAAAGTTAGAGCTTAGCTGTTGACCAGTGATACTTCTTGATATTTCTTTCTTTGCAATACTTTAAAAATCTTGCGTATGACGCTTCGTATATGGAGGCTGATTTTGTAGGTAGAAGGCTTTCTACTTTCTACCGCCGCTTGTGCTCCAGCTACGACGTCTGGTGGCGTGGAGGCTATTTCCACGTCCTCGTCGCTCATAATAATTTTTAAATAGCTTCAAAACAAAAACGCAAAGATAAACCAAAAAATTTTTTTTTTTGGCTTGTTTATTATTTTCATAACCGTGTTGTCAACCATAGTAACCATGGTAAGTCAATACAAGGCTACTTAATAATTTCAGATTATTTTTTTAATGAAGCAACAAGATAGGAAATAATCGTTTCAAAAGAAGATTAATCGTTTGAAAATAAAATATTGTATTTCATTCGGAGTTTAAGTGACTTTATGTGACTCGTATGGACTTAATTTTAATTTAATCGTCCATGCTCCGTCACATAAAGTATCACTTAAACTTCTAATAAAATAAATATCTATTGTTTCTACATATAAAAAAAATGGTTTTCTTTAGTGAACAAAAATACCAAACTTAGAAATTATGAAAAAAAAAAAAAAACAAAAAATTTTACCTAATTCATGGGGTAGGTCGGTAGGTGTGATAATATTTCCAGGTAGCAGGGACAACTCGGAATATTCACCTACAGCAGTGATGCCTACAGTAAAAAGTGCGCAATTCGGACTTCTTGTGCTCGAAAAATCAGGTAGCGGGCGCAACTCGGATACGTCCGTGGTTGTTGGCCCGATCCGATTTGTCGTTTAAAATTTCTGAGTTGGTAGCTCTGTGCTTTCTAATCGATATAACGTGCGATATAACTAACAAACACCACATACCAACGCGAAAGATATATTTATATTTTAGATTTTGAGGAGGTTTCTGAGTCGCCTGTTTTTCTTTTTCTCAAGTCACAGTTTCGTAATAAGTATTTGGAGACATAATTTCTTACCCTTCTTATTTCAGTCATTATTTATGTAACATATTTGGATACGGCGAAAGACGATTTATTAATGTGAATTGAATAAATAAATTATTATTGTTTAAATATCCCGCCATCCGCTAATCCATCGTCATGTGTTCCTACTGTCATTTTACAAGGTTATCCGCGTGTGTGCGCTGTATGGAACCATCATTATTTTACAACTCACGACTACTAGTCAGTTTTACAGCGTCACTGGGCATAGATCAAGGTTTTTGTTAAGAAATTTTAGCACATTTAAGTGTTGACATTTCGTGCAGTTGTAGTACCGAGTGATCGAAAGTAAAGTAAACAGTGTCTACTCAAGCTTCGAAAATGAGCACAAAACAATACTCCCTGGAGGAAGTCAAAAAGCACAACGATAATCAGAGTACTTGGATAGTCATTCATAATAATGTATATGATGTGACGGTGTTTCTAAACGAGGTATTTATTCAATTGTAATTTTAGAGCTAGAAACCATGTGTACTGGTACTTATTTGAGTCTGCCTGTTATAAATTGTTTGCTAGCTGTTATAATAACTTTGAGAAAGCAAAAAGCATTGTATAATAAAGCAGCACAAAAGTAGAACAACTACGTTGATATATTAGACCCAAATAATTACCATGAGTTCATTAAAATATGATAAAGGCACCGTATTTTGCATGTTCACCATACAGTCTTATCACGTAATACCACGTAATAGTTTTCGGCATGATCAATAAATTATCGTTAATTTAAAAAATATATATATATATAAATAGCGAAAACACTACTAACAATATTTTAACATACTCGTATATAAATAAGCTAACCAATTAAAGGTACTTTTATATGCACTGAATCTTTCCTTCTTAGCATCCAGGAGGTGAAGAAGTCTTGCTAGAACAAGCTGGTAAAGATGGTAGTGAAGCTTTTGAAGATGTGGGCCATTCAAGTGATGCTCGCGAATTGATGAAAAAATATCAAATAGGAGAGATCATTGAATCAGAACGAAAGCCTGTTAAGGAAAAAAATGTCGATTGGACCAGCAGCTCGTCTCATAACTCTAGCTCCCAAAGGTGTGTAATTTCATAAAGTATGTGGAGTAATACATGCATGTTTTTGTTGTGAACCGTCATCAGTGTATGACTCTACAAAATTCATATAACGAAACCTTCCTGAATGATATGTCTTGCAATTGAACATAATCATGTGTTTCATAACCTATTCGCAAAATTTCGTCAAGGTTTTAATAATATAAAGACTACGTGCATTTGAAATAACCTTGCCTCTACTTGACACGAATTGTAAATATAAAATAAAATGCAGTGTTTTTGAGCTTTATTGGATGCATTTTGAAAATGATCAGTTTTGCCACGTTTATTTAGAAAAGTTTTAATTTTTGCTTCATGATTGGTTATTTTTTCGTTTCATGTTAGGAATCGCTTAGTAATAACAAGTAAACAAATTGTTATCAGTTGGTCAAGTACTTGACGAAACACGTAGTCATTGCGATAAGCATGTTTAGTATTTAGTTTTATCTTAAAACCAAAATTTAAAATGAACTGTAATGATAATTATAAATTTACGGTTTTGTTGCTTGAATCATTTTTGTAATTATGTATGTATTTGCGATAGCTGACCCATATAAATAAAATTATGTTCCGTTAATCACAGCTATTGAACTGAAAATTTACAATTTAGCGTAATATATCGCCCTGTTTTCTGTTTTTACACGTAATCAATCGTTTTGTAAGGTAATTCATTTTACCATCTCACAATTTCAGAATTAACACCACTTATAATGCAATATTGTACATGTACATATATTATATTTAGTTCAAATGATTTGTGATCTTACCAATTACGGGAAGAAATGGCAGAAAATACTGCGGCTACGAAAATAGTAGTTTCGCAGTCTAATAAAAATCGACACAAACGGCAGACAGACAGACGGATGGAAACGGGAGACCTATTATTTCCTAGGGGTCATGAAACATCAGAAAACATGAAAGTATCCATTCGTTGAATGGACCCTATTACAATACTCGTTTGCTTACGCTTGCCAAGTAAAACCGTACCTAAATCGCTTTTTTATGCAGGGAGACACCGTCCAATACCAATTTATTAAGATTATTAGTACTTATTTGTTCATCCACTGAAGTCTGAAATAAATTTAATTTTCTCTGTTATGAAAAGTTAAACGCACAGTGTGATTGGAAATGTCCGATACGGCCTTTGATTACGTATTTATTATGAAAATACACACATGATGATTTTCGTTATGATCCATAAGACCGTTATGAATGAAATAAATTTAAATAATCGGGAATGCTTTCTTTAATTTGTAACTTGTAAAGAACATGGGTGTGTAGAACCAAAACATGCCATCAAAATTGCCTTTAATAACTGTATAGATGAGACTTTTACTTGTGTAAACTCCATCTTCACTAAGTTAAGAAAAGTAAACACTTTACGAGTTTAAAATAATATATTGATAGAACATTGCCATACGTATTTCGGCGAAAGAGTGACTCTTATGCTGGAAGACGGTACTGTGTACAGAAGCTTAATAATAATATCAGTGTTCTATCAATGTATATATATATATAAGCTCGTAGTGTTTACTTTTCTTAATTTAGTAAAATTGTCTTTAGTATTTGGTCATCTTTATTTACTTTTTAAACATGGGAACATTAAAAGCCACCATTAATATTTGTGAGCTATTCATGCTTAGTTCATTGTCAATTTAATTTTGTCACGTTATGGAGTATTAAACCAAAAAAAAAAAGAAAATAGTCTTTAAATTTAATGTTAAAAAAATTAGGTAGGCAACACTAACGCGTTACTTGTTCTTGTTAATCAGTTTAACGTTTACGGTCAAATAACTGTTAAAATAAAGTGTTAATAACTACAATGCCAACATCGTTTTAAAAATAAATTTCACCGACTTACTAGACCACTTTTTTGATAGATCATATGGTACGATTTTATTAAAAAAAAAACTGGGCAAATGAGGTAAATGACAGTGACATAAACGTGTTATTCTCATTGCTTTTCATGATCGATGAGAACCTGATTTTCTCATCATGTCCAGTTTCTTTTTTTTTTTTTTTTTTTGAATAAAATAATTTAATAAAGTGGTATGGTGGTGGAATTCCCTAAAAAGATGACTGCCTAGCGTAGAACAATTAATAAATTCGCTTGTCCATAATTCCACATAAAATCAGGGTAAATTTTGATGAAATTTAATAACACTGAACTAGTGCAATTTCTCATGGTTACTTAATAGCTGTTATGGGTATCACTGTTTTTACTAAATTTAAGATGTCAATAAAGATAATGAAAAAATATGTCATTAAAAATTAATTTATGAATTTACTAAAAATCAACTTTTTTATTTTTAATATAGATATGTACCCATAACCGTAACCCAAATTCATAACATTTTCGAGAAAACTAGAACTAAATAGGTCTTTTTTTAATAATACAAGAGAGAGATGCGGGGGATCCAAGACGAGCTTTTCAGTTACAGAGTACCATATGATCTATAGCTTGATATTATAGTGTACTCAGAACAACGCTGTATAGTATATTTTTAGAATATATGATAGAAGAATATAATAGAATCACCAATTTTGATGAGTGTTAATGTATAACCAAAATTTCAAAAAAGAATTGTTAGGTACAGTTTAAGACAAATTGTAGAATTTCATTTTAACAATTTTTTTTGCGATAATCCCTGTGCATAATCCATATGTAAATCTATACATTATTAAACTATAGTTGCTGGGGAATGTTACAATATAAATTTAGACGAGGTTTGTTTAACAAAATTTTATTTTATTATTAACCTTTGCTGTGAAGGCCTTCGTTTCCATGTAATACATTAGTGTAATGAACAACTAAACAACAAAAAGCCTAAAATTTCTGTCATTTTAAGAAATTCAATTAATTTTTTTTTTACTGTAAACAAATTAATGTGTGACAATGTCCGGTTTCACAAAATTCAAGATGCAACCAGAAATACAATTTCAAAATCACCTTCGATATGTTAAAATTGAACATTTCGGCAGAATTGATACAAAATGCAGAATGTAAGTGCAGGAAAAAAGCGGCTTCACATTTATAGAGAGAATATTATTTGTATAAGACATACCTCACGAGTTCTTAATTTGAATGTGTTATTTCCAAATTATTAAAATCAAACAGGTATATTTTACTTTAAAAAATAGTGGTACTAAATATCAAAGTTTGTTATACAATTGCATTGTTGGTTGCGTTTGGCGACAAGCTCCTTATGAATAATCGGTATACGCAGGATGGTAGGGGTTCATTGCGAAATAAAATAAAATTAAGGAGTGGTAATTTACAACATTCTGATTCAAAAACCTTAATAACATTTTATTCTAACATGTACGGTTAGACCACAATAATTGTATGTCTTTGTTTGAGAGCCACTGTCCTTACTTTTAATTTGCATACAAACACGTAAGGTTTGTATGCAAATAAAAAAACAAGATAAAATTTTTATTAGTAACTATTGTTACACATCAAAATGATCAGGAGGTGCTGATCAGGAGCATGCTCTTATAAATCAGTAACAAGGAAAAGCTTTAAAAAATGCTGATGTAATAACATAATTAGAGCGTTTGTGCAAGGGTACGTTATACTTATAATCATATAAGCAGCCCATTTTACTGGAATGAGAAGAACATAAATTTTACTTTTCGCATATGTGCTAAGTTGTTTTAGTTATAATAAGTTAGGTTATGTGGTCGATTACTGAAACTTGACTGAAATCTTAGACTGAAACCAAAATGGTTTAAATGTATAGAGAGAGTGTTGGGCCCATTGATCTAATAAAGGAGTGGATGGAGCCTTGTGTACGTTTCCATACGCGAGCGAGTGTAATCAACATAAGAAAGAAATAGCTAGAGCGGTTATGCATCAGTGGGGAAAGGACGGCTGACCACGTATCACGTGCTGGGTGGCAAGAAACACTTCATTTGAACGGGAATTAATACGTTTTCTTACGAATCTATTCAAACAATCAATTATAACAAACGTCTGTTAATGAAAACTATATTTTTACAGTTTACATTAAAATTATGTGTAATGTGAAACAACAAAACTCATGTTAAGTGGTGGAGATAATCTTTTAATAAAATGAAATGTATAGAGAATCTACAATATATTACGAATTCAGTTAGTACAATAAACTTCTACAAGTTAACTAATCTTGTAGTGTATGTTCATTGGTAATTCTGAAATTTTTAGGATAAAAATAATTAAGCTTGCGATAAAAGTAACAGGGTGCCTAATTAAATTAAACATATTAATTGTCTGGAATTTTCTACTAAAATCTATTTTCTAAATCCACGTACAAATAACTAAAACAATAATCAATAGATATAAAATTCCCTCTTTTTGAAGCAATAATCCATTTTTTTCGTAACTCGGAATGTTTAGGGAACCTAACAAATTTTTTAAATTATTTACGAAATCCTTCGTCTGTGTATGCGATTATTACCTATGAAATGAAACAGGATTGCTTTCTTTGCACGTTCTATTCAATTATACGCACAACACGATTTCACGATGTTTAACAAATAGTTCAATAAAATACAACTTAAGAAGACTGTAGACATTTAAATAAGGTAACTTAAGCCTAAAAAACGTAAATTTGAAAAAATACACCTTTAAACACCATGCGACAGTATGAAAGAAACCTCCAGAAACACAATGCTCTGCAGTTTCGCGCCAATGTTTTGCCACCCAGAGAGCCCTATCTCTGTCCCACTGTGTTGACAACGCGCGTCTCTCTCTAAGTTACTTCCATATAATATTATTTCTATGGTTGGGCCCACTGTTTTGTATCGCACATATACAAACCAGAGAACATAGAGAAGCGACATAGAGGCTGATTTTGCAAAACCACCCTTATGGAGTCCTCAACCGCCAAAGGCAAGCGCCAAATTTAAATAGTCGATGCCAATAAAAACCTTGGTTCACTATAATTGTAATTCGTGTGAAGGAAATAGTAAGCAGCTTGTAATATTCTGGTAAATCTAGTGTCAATTTGTCGAAAGTAAAACGCGTCGTTAAAAATATTGTGACATTTCTTCTAGTTAATTTTATTCCTAGTTAGATCCAAACACTGCTGCCAACATAAATTGCGGACTCCTCAACCGTCATTTAATTTAAACTATGGCGCTTCTCTATGTTCTCTGTACAAACCCTCTCTCCCGTTCGTATCGTGTTCGTATACATTCGTAAATTGACGGATAAGCAATTGAGCGAGTCAGTGGCGTAACTAGATTTTAGTGGATGTTTGCAAAGACTAGATACGCAAACGTGCAGGAAGTGTATTAACCACACATTTTATTTAAAAACCAATATTTTTTATTTTTCTTGAAATTGTATGAAAGTGAAACGCGTCAGCCACTGTTCTGCAAGGGATTAAACCTCTCCCGCCTCACTCCTCTCACCCTGGAGATGTTGGTCACACTTTGATATATGGAAAGTGTACGGCATACTCTATCTATACTTTTCTTCAATATGTTCAATATCTTTGACTGAAACCAAGGACTGAAACTGAAGTTTAAGGTTATGTCAACACGACCTACTTCCGTGCGCGACAGCATAACGTTGAGTTTTTTTGATTGGCTTCGATATTTTTATAAATAGTGTAAGGAATCGCTGTATACACGGTCCATATGATTATAATTATAACGACGTGGTTTTATAAGCGAAAAAGTCCCTTGAGCAAACACTCTGGTAAAAATACATAGTTGACATTTAAGCACAAGAAATTGGATTTTTACATGATATGCTCGAAATGACGACCGTCCATTTGAACGTAGACTATAAGGAATTCACGTTCGGTAGATGTAACTAGATTTGGTAACTTTTTTTTTTAAGCTGTGTAACTGCGGACATAATTGTTCTAGTGTATAATGTATTACTGGAATGTCAGAAAGTAGCTATCAAAAATGTGACATGTAAGTAAGTAAAGGTCAAATATCGAAAATGTGATGGTTTTGTGGTAATCTGGTGAATCTATTTTTGAACCAAGGAGAAAATCGTATCCCTCTAAAAGCCCAAAGAGCAACCCGCATGTAAAATTTTGAATCTTTTCCCTTCACTAGTTTTTTTAGGAGGACAAGCTTTGATGTCATCATCATGGATCCACAATTTCACCATGGATCCGTTCTGGTATATCCATGTCTCATTCAAGAAAATGAAAAGTAAATCTTCACCACAATCACGCAATTGGAGATAGGTACCGCCTTAGAAATTTGATTCTGGCAGCTATAACGTGTTTAATATGTGAAAAACTTCGCCTTCGGAAACCTAAATTTATACGTGTATTATGTACAATTATTTTCAAAGCCAAGTGTTTTACCTCTTACAAAACAATAACGATTATATAAAACTTAAAAACCAATTGTAGAACGGAACCAACAAAGCATGTAGGTATATAAATCTGCCCAGTCGTCTTTCTGATTCTGATTATAATATTAACGGCACAAGCGCCAATTTTTTGAAAACCACGAAATATTTCTTGTTTCTTTTCCTTTAAAATGAGCTTTCTCGTGATTACTTTTATGGAAACTGTTTCCACGCTGTATTTAAGGATTTTCTAGAAACGAAGCGTGTTCAAATTAGAAAAACTTCGTTTTTTTCCACACAATTCAGATTTGACATTTGAATTAGAAAATTAGACAGTTGATGCCAATCTTAAATTTCTAGTGATCTTAAGATTGCAACTTAACCACAGAAAAGTTTCTGTCAGTTACTTCTACCGAACGTGAATGCTTATTACTCGCGTGCACATTCGAAATTGCCTGAGTTCACACGTATTGTGTTGACGGCTTCATGGATTAGGACCTTATTTCTTCCGCATGGAACAACTTTGTGACCCCACAAGTAGAATTCCAAGGGAGTAAGTTGGAAGATAAACCAGGCCAGGTCTGAGGTCTTCGTCCAATCCACCAACGTGGACAATTGTCATCCAAAAATCGCACCATATGACTGAAATGTGTTGGAGCCCCGTCATCTAAAGGTCACATGAGGATTGGACTAATTGAAAATGCCTTCACATAAACTCCCCTGCCTCGTCAATTGCCAAAATGTTTCCCAAAAACTCGGCATTTTCTTATACTTACCTCAGAAACCAAGTGTAAAATACAATTCTGCGTGGATAATTAGAATGCAACGACTGCACACGCTGGTCACGATAGGAGTACAACAACTGCTCCTTAAGAGTTCTCCAAATCGGCCTATGCGACACGTGGAATTAATTGCGACGTTACCCAAAACTTCTTCCTCCTTTAACCCGTATTGATAATAACGTTCCCGTTTTATCTAGCCTTCCGTGCACACACGCTGGAAGAGAGTGCAAGACGGCATCTGCCTCTGAGGGAAACCATTTTGATATAACTGAACTGGAATACAACATCGTCCTCGCGCTTCCCATGAATGAAATTGGTATCCGCTAATTCGACGATTGAGTAACCATGTTGGTCATCCATGTCAGATGATTGTAACACAATGATAAAATTTGGAAGTGTCATATCAGCAGCAGCCTACTACTAGTCTTTATTGTTTGCAAAGTGTCATAACAATTCAAATCCATGACAACGAGCTAAAGTGCAGGCCAAAAGCATCTCAGCTATGCAATTGCCTGCTGGTTCTCAAACGTGGACACTCACAGGTTGTGTGTTCAGTAACATAATTATGGTAATCCTAAACACAAAATCTTATTAAGGTTTTTGATTTAATATGGGTTAAACTGCTACCTACTAAAATTTAGAAACATAAACTCCTCTCACCCTGCATACATTATATACAGTATGATTTAAGGGTAAATGACCCAGTTAACCCTTTCTTATAGGCGTCCCAACATATATTATCCGCTTATTTCTTAATTAAAAATTTAATTTTCAAAATGCCTTGAATCCAAGTTTACTTTCATTGTTTGAAACGTCAGTGTCAGTTTCACATACATAAACACAAGACATTTTAAATCAATGGTTATTATTTTCAAATAAAATACAAGATCTTCTGAACAATATTCTCTGTCCATAAAAAAACATGTCACGTGTTCTAACATTTCTGGGCAATCCACTGACGTATTTGTCCAATTCATACTTGCAACTCGACCATATTTTCAAACGGCGTTACGGATACCCTTTTTTCTACGTATGCTCATAAAAAGTAGTCCAGTGGTGTTAGGTCGGAACTACGCAATGTGCACACTTCTACGTATACCTACAAGCCAATTTGTTTTCAAACACCATTCAACTGGTTTGAAAATTTTGTGAGTGGGATGTCTTCGTCCTGGATATTGCTGTGTGTACCGTCGTTTCCAAAAAAATTCGGGCAAATGACATTGACATTGAGTCATATTCCTATTGCTTTTCATTGATATATGGGAACCTGATTTGCTCATCGTGCCCGAAATTTTTTGGAAACGACTGTATAAGTTCGCAGCCAATCTAGCGTTTTTACCAAACACTTCCTAGGTTAATATCGTTTATGAAGGAATACGTCGACATTTTTTGAAATTTGAAAAAATGCTGATAATCAAACTGACAGTGGCCCAGCAAAGCCTACTTAAATTCATGGCAATTATTGAATTTAAAAAATTTAAATTAAAATTTGCATCAAGAAGTACGCGAATAAAGTATGAGTTGCTTATTATAAAGAGGCAAGTGTCATTTAAGCTGAATCTGCCTGTATTTAGTCTTAACAAAAAATAAACAGTCTCAATAATTTGTTATTAATATTGAAAAAAAACATGCTGTATTTGTTGTTCAAAGACAAGAAAACTTATTGTAAATAACTTTACAAATATTTTAATTTACGTAATATTTGATCTTAATGTGTTTTTTTTTAATTTGCAGCTCCTTCAAATCATGGATTTTGCCTGTCACCCTCGGTTTGTTGGCCACGATAATTTACCGTATTTACTTCCAATCACACTAAAGACTAAGCAGCAAATTGTGGATCGTATTAAGTTGCATTTATGGTTTAGTTAGGGTTTAGTTAATGCAGTTTTCGTAATTGGGTTCTATTGTTACAGCGATTGATTAAAAATGTAGTCTACTAGTAAAGTGATGTTTTGAATTTGTTAAACTCTACCCACAGACCGGCTGTTAATGTTAAAGATTGTGTAAATTTGATAGTTTGATATCAAGAAATCATAGTATGCTGTTATAAAAGTGTTAATGATAAATCTGTTGAGACTACATTCTGTAAGTTTTTATTTGAGGAAATAAAACACACTTTACAATAATAATAATCAGCTTTATTTTCTAATAAACAAGCTCAGATAACCTTAATGTTAATTAACAAAATAACGGTAACTCAAAACGATGCTTAATACATCAGGTAATCTTATGATCTTCTCAAAAGAAGTAGAATTTGCTGCAGTGGTAATTCTTTAGTAACGCAAAAGAAACAGTACGGATCTCAGCAAAATCTCCTTCGTTTGCGCAGTAAGTACAACTATGTTTCAAAATTTCGGTTTAAGCCATTATTTTCGAAATAAATATTTAAAAAAATGTATAGTTTTACAGTGTATACATGAAAAGATTAATAGTCTTATCAAAACTCAAAGGAACGACAATTTGTACACATACTTGGTTGCACTGGTAACTTACGTACAAAATTGGCAGTCATAACATACGACATCGTATTCAGCCATGCGGAAACGATCCATTCGCATCTCCGCATGACTTGTCATATCAATTATTACATTTATATAATCATCTAATGTAAATATATAAGATATTTGATGATGTAATAGTGCGGTACCGTAAATTATTTATGTAACCCAATATGAACTAAAAATGAGGAACTGTGATGTAGATAATTTCTTCAGTTTTTCTTCCTCAAAAAATCACTTACGGTACGGCATTTTACAACAAATAGAAGGCAACTTACTCAGACTTATGTAGCGGTCGTCCGCACACAACAATTTCGTGCTTTAAGATCTGATTGATTCATTTTCTTTTTTCCATAGTCATGAAGTGATTACGATGCATTTCACATTTAAAATCATATAATTTATCTATGTATATAATTTTTTTCTACATAATATACGCGTGAAGATAATTTACAGTTAACAGGTCATTAAAACATAAATATCAGATGTTCAACAAATTATATTATGTGAATTTATGTCCGTCTATATGCACCGAATATATACATCTTTAGTTTCTGTATAAATATCATTTACGAATCTTATCTACAGGTGTTGTACTTATGTACTACCTCTGAATCGCTGAATTTAGAAGAAAAGGAACGTAAAACATCTTACTATCTAGGAGAAGTGCTGCGGCAGATTGTATCTGAAACAGGAAAAAAAAAGGATTAACATAATAAACAATAAAACATGATGTTCTGAACAACATTATCAATGTGACCACCCCTCTGTTTTGTTCACAAACAAAATATTTCACGCGTTCTAACATTTCGGGACCAACGGACTGACATAGGTATTTGTCCAATTTGTTCGTGCAACTCAACAATATTTTTAAACGGCGTTGCGGATACCCTTTCTTTTACGTGTAAAATCTAGTTCAGTAAGTTCAGTGGTATTAGGTCGGGACTACGTCAACTTGTACGTTTACTTGTAGGCAAATTCCTCTCAAACGATTTTCAATCTGTTTAGAAATTTTGTGAGTAGCGTGCCTTTGTTATAGGTGTTGCTCTGCGTAGAAGTTTGCACCTGATTACCGCTAGATCTAGCGCTTTTACTAGACACTTCGTAGGTTAATATCGTTTATGAAGGAATATTTTGGCATTTTTGAAACTTGAAAAAAAGCTGCTAATCCGACTGACAAGTAAGTATACAGCAATGCATTAGGATTCATGATATTAGTGAAATTAGAAAGAGGCAAGTGGGTTATTTAAACTGAATTAGCTTGTATATACGGGGTGTCCTAATATACCTGTTCCATATGTGAAATAAGTTTGAAATTTAAAACGGTTAATTAACAAAAATAAAAGAAAATTATGATGCGAAAATCACATCAACTTTTCTTCTCCAATAGAATGGAGTATGTGTTTTAAGAGAGTGTGATAATACCTTTTTTCATTTTCCGTTAATGTAGCGCTTGATAGTTAACAGATTTGGCACAATATTTAAAAAAAAAATTGAATGGCAGAAAAAAAAAGTTGATGTAAAGGTAAATTAGCACGCAAAGCGGTTTAAAACAAATATCTTTTTATTGTTACATCATCTTTAGCTTTTCGGTTTTTCCGTAAATAATTTAAAATTTTCTCTGTAGCTAAAAAACAAAAAAGTATAAAATATTGGAGAATTTGTATACCGGGTGTCTGGAAAATGGCGGATTAACTCTCCAGTACGTTATATACGGGAGTTTCGGGAGTCCCAAAAAAATAATAAAAAAAATCTTTATGATGTAGATTACGAAAAAAACGTAATTTTATAAAAATAAAATTGGTCACACTGCACACACCTAATGCGTGAATACCTCCGGCTTACTTTCTGGTTTCTTAGTAAAGATGGTGACTGAAATCCACCTTCGCTTTATATCAGGCAAACATTGTTGTCAAATGGAATTTTATCAAATTATTACAAAAACAACAGAACCATATCTTTGTGCATTCTAACTGAAATGGTAATTAAATATGGTCGTGGACGAGAACAATATTAACTAAAAGTTTTATTACTAGTTATTGTGATAATGAACGAGTTGTTTAATTGTTAAACGTAGCAAAAGAACCAATTTTAAAATCATTACAACTCCACTAAAATGTGAGAAGGATTTTTTTTACTATTTTTCCCAGACTCACCACTTGATTGTTAAGAGTGTAGCGGAGAGTTAATCCGGCATTTGCCAGACACCCAGTATAGTTGCTGGAATTTTTTACTAATGGAATTAAGCATGATTTTTGCGTATTTCATATAGTATATTTCTTCATCTTTCCTCAATGTAACGTTTGACATGCTTTAAATTATGTAATGGCGAACAAATTATGTTTCTTGAATTCTCGTTTAATTTTTGTAAGGGAGCAATAAAATAATAGAAAACTAAAGATTTTCAACAAAATGAAACACAACCGACAAGATTTACAAGAATTTTCCAACAAAACAATAAGTTTCAAAGCAGCGTGTATTTCGTACGTTTAACAAAGTATACCAAGATCAAAAAAAAAAAAAAAACTGAATGGAATAAAAAAAAAATACGGCCACAAATAAGAAACAAATTGTTGGCGTGTTGGGAAAGCTTAATATGAAAAATAGATTCCAAAATTAATAACTTTATGTCTGTTTGCCAATTTGCAAAAATTAAGGCAAAGTCGAATATGCACACACATTTTATTAATTTTTATTTGCATTTCAGAAGCATTTAAAAGCATTTGATAAACAAAATACTTATCACAACGGTGATAAATGATTGGTATAAACACTTCACAAACATTCTCCTTATATCTGAAATAACAAAGGTTGATACTTTCTGCTGTAAACCAGAAAGATATGCCTGATACTAACGATTTAGGTAGTCATTTTATTTTTTTTTTTGTCATTTTTTCTATCAATAGTATCAATTAATCGTTCCAAGTTACAAGCTTATATCTTTTCAGTTATCTAAGATATCAGAACAGAACTGGTAACGGGTATGCCATGAGACAAATATGGCTAACCTCCAGGTCGCCCAAAGGCTCGCGCCCTTGCAACCTAACCCTCATGACTAAGTAAGCCTGAATTAGCGCTATGTACGTTAACGATTATAATTTTTTCTAAATTGTTCCCTGTAAAACTCATTTTGTAATGTGATGATGATTGCGCTTTATATCTATCTAATAGGGACGTTATATAGTTTCGACGCTGCTGGGTATGCGTGAATTTGAAGGAAAACTATCAATTTTTGTAGCGAATAATCAACACTCCGACATGATGTTCAGGTGTATTACTGCATGGGCGGTTTATGTAAAAGACCCGCTAAGATTCGGTCCATGTCAATGTGTCTAGTTAGCACGTTTTTAACATAAACGTACACGACTTTATTGAACAGTACGTGTCATAATATATTCAGTTATGAGCTAATAGATGTGCATCATATTTAATTTCTCAAATCTTCATGTAAGATGTATTCTATATTTTTCTCATAATTAAGTACATTTACACAATGTATAAAAAAAAAAAATGAAATAAATTCATTAAAAATTGAAAAGTGTAATTTGGCCAGTAATAACTAAATTAACCTATTTTGAAACGTGGAATAACATGTGTTCAGAACAAACAAAAAATTTACATGTCCGAAATTTACTACAGATGATGAAAAGACTAAAATTGATATGTTTACTGCAGAACTAGGAAATGTGTACACAAAGTTAGAATGTAGTTTTTTATAAACGTTGTAGTTAATAAGTTTCTATTGTATTATACATATTTAAAATCGACAAACATTAAGACTGATGTCATAGCCACTTAAAATACCAAACGTGATTCTCTTTTTTATAGTAGAATTAACATGCATTTAAGTATTTTAATAAATTATTAACCAAATAAAAAACAAAATAACTAAAATCATGAAATCTTGCGTTTCTGTGAGCAGGAATTCTGAGATGTTGATTTTAAACTTCTTTCGTTAGTTTCATTTCTTTTAATTATTTCAACAAACAGAGAAACAGATATACTGGGAAATAAGTTTTCAAAATCTTCATAATGAAAATTACTGGCTTAAGTTCTTTTAAAAATGTTATATAAGGTGAAATAGGTTGAAATCCTGGTACGTTAATAATAAATTTCACACAATTTTAGTTTACCATAGACACTGTTTAACTGGTGGCCTATATACTAGACTTCAACAATTCTGATTGTTTTTAAAATAAAATAGGTAGTTATTTGAATTATAAGACCAGATATTATATTTTTGCGAATACGAGTTAGTTTATGTGGCCGAGCCGATAGAGCAGGCCTGCAAATAACGACTATTCGCAAAATAATGTTCTAGGGGAGTGATGTACAAGATTTTTATATAAATAAAATTGTTATTAATTATACTGGTTTTTTTGATGGTACATAATTAAGGAAATGACAGTGTATAAACAAAACAACACCCCCCCCCCCCTCGGCCGGTCATTTTAAAGACCTCTAGCCCCTCTCCACGCCGAGATACACTCGGGTTAACAATAATAAATGAACACACAAGAAACTTTTACATTGAGATGGAAATTTTTATGTAATTTGCCAAGGGCACGTGCCCCCCCCCCAAAATTACAAATTCTACAAACACACTGGACATAGCAAAATAGTAATTTTCAATATTTAAAAAAATATCCGAAAATTTGTGTCAATTATCAAAACTAATTTTTTTACCTCGCTCCGCTTGTATAAAATGTATCAAAACTTATATCCACTTACATCTAAAGATGTGTGTCTTGGATATATGATATATTATTGCTGATTATTGCACTCACATGTCACATGATGTCAACTGACCAATCAAACGCGTCAATATTTGTAAATTCAACCAATCAGCATACAATTACGTGATAATTGCACACTGTGCAATTACCACTACCGATAATTATCACTAGCCAGATGTGCCAACTATAAGATAAGCAAGTACCAGTTAATTGCAAAAAAAAACAAGAGGTTACTAACCAAATATTTAATTATGAAACTAAGAATTGTAATTAATTATGGTACAGTTGTAGTAATTTACAGGGGTTTGTGTGCTTGGTGAAGTAGTAACTATATTTTTAGACATTTGTACCAAAGCAGACGGTGCGCAATTTGTGGATTTGTTATTAGACTCTTCCATAGCCGTTGAGTTGGCGCGTAATTTGTCAATCATTTGATAATGATGATCTCCATCGAGCTGAAGGTATGGTTTGATGGAGAAAGTATTGGCATGACCGGTAATCTTTATAAGCTGTTCTTCACCGACTCCCGCTTTTGCAAGTTGCGACACTGCAGTTGACCGTAATGAATGATTACTAATCTTCTTTTTCTTTATGTCGATGCCTATTTCTTCTGCGGCGGTTCTTGTCCATTTCCCCATTTCATTCCTTCCAACGGGTGAATTTTTGAACCATCCTACAGAACTAGGTTCTCTCCATGCAGGATTTGGCGTTAAAAATAAACGATCGGTGGTTATATGTTTACCTCTCTTGCTCAGCATTTTTTTGTAGAGCCTTAAATAATAAAATAATTATTATTTTGTATTTGAAACAGTATTTAATTACCTAACAGGGCAAATTCTAGGATCTGTGGTGTTTGTTGCAAGCCATTTGCTGTCTGTTAATTTATGGCTACCTCCTTGAGCTGTTTTGGAAAAAATACAATTGTATTCTATTCGCCCCGTAGGCAAACCACAATTATCACTTTCTTCCTTAAAATGTTTGATAGTAACGTTAACACCTTCACATCCCCTCCAAGCTAATTCTAATCCAGCCACATAAAAAAACATTTTCTGTAAACCATCTGGCGTGTCTTCGTTATAAATCTTTAGAATCTTGTTGTATTCTTCTAGAGTCAAAATTGAGGAACTAGTTTTGCGTTTTTCCGGTTGTATTTGTAGGTTCCGGCGTTTTGCGTCGCGTGCATTTCTACTACCCTTGAATTCCAGGTCAACAAAAGGATCAAACTTTATACCAAATTTATTGAAATACAGTTCTTGCAACTGCTTTGCCGTTACATTCCACATCGTTTTTATTACTGCTTCTTTGTAGTCATTACCATCGACTTTTTTCATATTGTACCCCCAATCTTTGAGGATGAATGCTAGTTTTTCCGTGGAAGTGTTTCCATCAAAAACATATTTGCGTTCACCGCAAAACTTCTCAAATTGCCTCCAGATTGAATTTCGTGAGTTCTTCGTATTTAGCGGCGTAATGTTTGTAATAGAATCATCAATTTCTTTTGGCGTGTTACGACCAAAACGAAAATTGGACATGGTTTTTTAAACCCACACAAATTTTGCAAAATGGCTGTTCTTATTTACTTGCGTCGCCATAGTATCGCACACCAAACTACTTCGTAAATCATTATAAAATTATTTTTAAAATGTTTGTTCTTGCAATAATCTGTTGAATATATTGCGTGCATCACAATGAAATCGATAATTTTGAACAACAATAATCTCTCATGCTTGTTGCCTAAGAAAAATGCACTCGTGCTAAAGCACTCGTGCGTTTTCAATGCAACAAGCATTCGAGTTATTGTTGCTCAAAATTATCGATAAGATTGCGATGCACTTAATATATTATAACTGATAAAAGCCGGGCACAAAGACGGCAAAGACCGAATCATGGCTGATTTAAATGTTTTGTTTACACTGTTGCCATGGAAACCACACATTCTAGCCATTTCATTCAATGGGACTGCGACCCTTTCTGATAGTGCGGGTTTTAATTTTCATGCTGCGCGAGATAGACGTAAAATAGGTATGATAAATGTTCTTGGATAACCTTCTCAGTAATACGGACATTCGGAAACAACTAAACACCGCCTACATTAACAATATTCGGGCATATATCGCAAGGGTCGACAAAAATCGCCATATATTACGCTGATTGAAAATGTGCATACAATTTTGTGGAGTGTTTGAATTTGCTTTACGTGGACATGACGAAAGTAGGAAACCACAAAATCCAGGTATATTTTGAGATCTGATTGATTTTGCGGCTGAATTGGACTCTGCTTTATCAGATCATTTGAAAGAAGCAACGGTTTTTAAAGGAACGTCTAAAACTGTCCAAAATGAACTTTTAGATGCCATCAACGTAAAATTTTGACCGAAGGCAAAAAGGTATGTGAACAAAACCTTTTTTACTTTTATTGTATGTTTGTATTTAGTTCCGTCACACAACTTCGTCTATTAATTGGTACTAACAATCTGTTTTATATCGTCATACTTAACTCATCAATCAAATTGTGACCATTTCAAATGGCCACGAGCCGCCACTGCAAATTACGCGCACGAGTGCTTTTTACTTTCCATTACCATGATGGTGACGTTAGAGTAGCTCTGATGCATCATAACTGTGACGTAATTGCAGCGCTGTCAATGACGTTATTTATAAATAACTCATAGTTAATCTTTAAATTTTAAAAATGTATTATTGCGAAAAATATTGTACACAACATGTTGTCTCGGAAAGCCTGCTTTTGGCATGAACGCTTGTTTTTGCGTGAATGCGAGAAGAAGGCCTTATTATAAATATCTATTATTAACAATACATATCTAAAAAAATATTAAGAAATCACGAGTACAAAAATTAAATAAATATAGGAACTCTAGTTGTAAACAGCTAAAATCTTAAGTAAACACTTGTTTAAAAGAAATAGTCATATATTTATTATGTTGCGGATAGGCAATGCTGTTGCGTAGTCTGTTTTTTGTATTTCAAAATGATTTAAAATGTTTGTTCAAAACACAACTAAATTTGCATTACCATATCTAAGTAGTATTAAAAATATTAAATTGCGGTAGAAAAGGTCGTATAAATTATTAAGTTAAAATATTGTTTACGTCTTTTCTTTTCCCTTCCTTTTATAGCAAAATGATAAGCTGAAAAGCTTTTCATTTTTCTATTTTCCCGAAAATTTGGCAATACAATACTGTTATTACACTGCACCAATCCAATTTGATATACCTACTTACGTGTCCTTGCAAAAATAAAAATGTTGATGACCTCATCACAAAATTTTGTAAAATAAAAACTCATTTGAAACAAACGCGTAGCGTGCTTCTTTACATTTACTTTAGCATGATATACATGTTTATGTCAGTTTATAGGGTTCTCATAAAAAATAAAATTCGCAAATTCAAGTTTTATAATGTTTTCGAAAATGCTGGGTATGAGCCATTATACTTCAAGGGTGATTGAAGTTCTGTTGAAACAACTTGCGACTAATTTTTTTATTTCCTGAGCATAAGCTAAGGAGTAAATATAGTAATTGTAGTATTTTTTTTTTTTTTGTGGTAATACATGAACAATTCTCCAATCAATTTTTTTATATTATTGTGATAGTAATTTAATTATCTATCAAAATTCATTAAAACATTTACTACTTGCATTTGAGAATGGTTCCATTCTATAAATTCAAGTTTTTTAGGCTTAAATAAATGTGCAGGTTGATTTAAAAAATTTATGAACATTTCCAAATATTCCATATTTTTGTTAATGAGTGCATTTCAGTACATTTTGCCATAAAAATTTGAAGCAAAATAACGAGATCAGTTACAATTTCACCACCGCTATTCAACATTTATTAGATTTTTAACTGTGTTACCGCATACGAATGTCATTAGATACCTTATTCGTATCGAATATAATTATGTACCTGTATGGCGATGATTTCACAAAGTTTCAATATATTACAAAAATACTCATGTACAATCTTTATCATATTCGTATATGGCATAAATTAAAAAAAATAAAATAAGTAGTCAATTTGACAAGGACGGTCGAACAGGGTAAACCTTATTTACACGACAGGTGTCCAGTTTATAACAAACCCATTTGAGGGAAAAGGTTAAATAATTGTTGAAAATACAGTTGAGAGTGTAAACGTCATATCTACCATTTTAGACATAACTAAATGTAACAATAGAAAATTTGAAATTATTTAACACAATCAACTTAATTGCATCAAACTCACGTACGGAGACGACAACTGTAATGGAACTATCGTTTTGATTAAAAGTAATAAATTGGTTAGAACAAGTGACGTTTTTATTTCCTACTCTTAGAACCTTGGAAAATGGAATAAGAAGCGTAAATTGATCTACAATAAGAAAGGGTGTACAACACTTTGTGATCTGCAAATTTTTATGAAATATTTTTAGCAACTATTATGAAAAATCTATAAAATATTGTTAACTTAATTCTTAGTTGGAAAATAAATTGCAGGACGCATTTTCGCGACCTTGTCTGGAAAGCGACAATCTAGCATACCTATATAAACTTCTACATATAAATAGGTAATGCGTACCAACATTATTTTATTCTCATGTATGCTTTTTTTTTCGAAAGGATGAAATAATTAGA